GKTTKRWWATTCAACACAAGAACACATGAAAGGATATAAGTCCAGAAGAAAAACACTAAATTGTAGTATAAAAACACTTTGGCAGAGAGGGTGACGCCAATAATTATATACCCGTCTCTATCGTCACTAAATATGAACATTCTGTAATGAGAACATAATTAAGTACATGTTAATAAGTAGGAAAACTACCAATTTATAAGGTAATTGATTTTATAATTTGTCTAAATATTTTTGGTTTAAACAAGGGTATATTCTCATAAGCAAAATTTGTTTCTTCCACATTAAATTACAAGGTAATTGATTTTATAATCTGTCTAAATATTTTTGGTTCAAACAAGGGTTATATTCTCATAAGCAAAATTTGTTTCTTCCACATTAAATTTGGTACCATTATTATATTAATATTATTATATCATTATATTATTTTGCTTTTATTCTAAACATAATGTGTGTAATACTTTTTGAAACTTCTGACAATACACCTTTTCAGTTGCACTTAGGTCTCAATAGCAAGTTAATTATTCTTTTGAATTTGACAAATGAGACTATTCATATCAACGTTTGCATTGCTCACACATTCCACATTCCACATGTATTCAAGCATTTTGATTGTTTGTTTTCAACATATTTTGACTAAGTATTGCAATACTAGATGTACAGTAGATGTGTTGTTGGCAAGGGACAAAAAGTATATTTAACACAAAGGTGCATTGACTTACCTCATTATAAACCATATTATACTCGACAGAACAAATAGGAGTGGTAATGCAACAAACCATCTCGGAGAATATTCCAATATTCCACCAATCAGAAACATGGAAATAATTGGGGTGAATAAGAGAACATATCGTCTTGTTTTCTAAGAATTCGAAAAAATAAAATAATAAGTTTTCATGATAAAATGATCTCCTATTGATTATCATTACTGATATTTTCATCTTCCTCAACAATGTTATTATACTCTAATTAACAATTATTAGAGCGTGAGGTCAAGTGAATTTGAGTTTATATGAACTATCAAAACATAGTCCATTAGAGATCAAATAATATATTTTTGTGAAACTGAAAAAATAAGTTATGCTGATTTCTGTATTTTTCTATTGTCTTATCAACATTATAAGAAAAAAAACACTAACTATACCAAAGTTACGATGCCTCCACTCTAGTAATTCACAAACTATTTCATAGGAATATTGTTCACACTTTACCATGATTGCAAACATTATCTCTAATTATTTGTCATCTTTTACACCCACCCTGTCACTAATAAATGGTCTCAGGAAGGCAGGCTTCCCTACTCCTTTGTCAAGAGCATATAAATCAAATTGTACTTTCAACCATTTGTTCTTTTTCTGGCTTGCAAGGTCAGAAGGTGTTTGTCCCTGAGGAAAAAAAATGGTTCAAAAAATATTAAACTACACCCAATAATGACAGCAGCTCTGCGAAAAAAGTTGTGTTTGGTTGGAGTATAATCACACCATCACATAATCTTATTAAAGAGCAATAGAAATTATTCTGGGAATCCAGTTTATGCAGCTGACTCGTTTTCATCCATCTGTGGCAAAAAGTCTTTGACTTTGGCCCAACAGACAGCTGCCTTAATACATGTACAAAGTAGTCTATTTTGCTTTAGGATGTAACTGAATTTGTTGAGYAGCCAGTTGATATATATCAGATTTGTAATGACTGTAAAAACATCAATTCAATTTACGTTGTATATTTTCTATTCATTTACCTTTGCATTAACAGCGTCTAAAGATGCACCTGCTCTTACCAGTGGATTGATGACATTATGATTATTAGAAACCACCGCCCAGTGAAGAGCTAAAAACAATATGAAAAGATATCAAAATAAAAAATTGAGGGATGGTTAGTTTGATCTGAGTCTGATCCCAACAAACCTTGCTTTTCTCCCATTTAATATCCCTTTCTGGTCTTCTTCCCTTCCCATTTTTTTCCTTTTTTCTCTCTATCTTTCTGATATTTGACAACCCTTTTGCCCTCTTATCATTGTCTATTTTTCTCTTGCCTTTTAGTTTTGCCTCCATTTCTCCTTCTCTTTCCATTTTTCATTCTTTCCAGCCACCTTCCATTCCCTCCCTTTGCCCCAATTCTTGCTTTCCTCCCTTCCTCTTTCTCTTATCCATCTGCCTGCTAATCTTTCTTTTATCATCCCCTTTCTTTCTTCCTCTTTTCCATTGTTCTACMTTTCATTYGATTATAAACACATAACTGTATAATGCAAAATATATGAAAATTGCAGCCAGTGCATTCATGGTTATAGAGATTAAAATTAATAGGTATCCAAGCAAGATACAAACAACTTAATCTCCATAATGGAAAATAATTCACCTGTGTTATGGTGTATATTATCTGTAATATTTATAGAACCATTTAAGTTTATAAGCATTCTCGTAGCATCAACTCTGTAAAAAAAATATATTATGTTATTTGCTGAAGAAGGGTTAATGCCTGAAACGTTCAATAAATAGTAGAAATCAAGTTGCAACTTGTGTGGCTTTTTCATCATTTTATACTAATATTATTATATTACGTTATTACATATACATCTTTGACTGTATGACTGTCAATATTGTAAACAATTTTAATGCATGCTCTTCAAGATAAATCATGAGAGCTGGTAGAGGCATATCTTATTTTTTTCAGGTTTGGTGACTGCTTGTAAAAAGTGCCTTTGAGAAAATTGAATCATACATAATATACAACTTACCCAAAGCATCGATAAGCTGCCCACATCAATGGTGTCATACCATTTTTGTCTCTCAAATCAACATCCTAACAAAAAACAAAAAAGATTTTAAGACTTGAAATCACAATGTACTACTATGTGAGTTCTTGTAAGTTACGTGAGATTTTAATGTGAATTATTGTACAGTTTCAAGATTACATCCTTACAATGCCTTTAGCAAGTAAGTATGCCATGATCGCTGTGTGTCCACTTTGTGCAGCAACATGTAAAACACTGCATCCTGGAGAGAAAGGTAGAATAAAATAAGAAAAAGACATGAATGAGAAATTGAGAAATAAACAACAACATGCCTTCCACATCCATAATTTCTGGATCAGCTTTATGTTTCATCAGAAAGATTACCATAGGAAGATGCCCTTGCCTGGAAATGCAATAAGTCCATATCTTAACAACAATTCATTATTGAAACACATGGAAATAATTCCATGACATGTCAAATAAAGTTTTTATACCTTGCAGCCCAGTGAAGAGGTGTGGCATTGAGAATACCTCCCTTATGATCAATATCTGCACCTTTTGATATTAGATACCTAAAAAGAAAAAAAAAAAATTTATCAGTGATTTTCACTGTCTGCCAGCTACTATCAGAACCCTGAGAATTTCACTGGTGGAAAAATTGAACTTACTCAGCTACATCYACCCTGCAGTTGATRGCAGCCCARTGCAAAGCTGTGATATTCTCATCGTCTGACGTTGTAGGATCAGTATTTTCTTTCTCAATAAGATGTTGTACTCTGCTTAGAATACCATACTGCGTTGCCCTAACTAAATCAAACTGACTATAATCCATTTCAGCCATAGGTGTTGGGTTGAAAGGATTTGCAGGTATCACTTCTTCTGAACTTGTTAATTGGACAGGGTAAGGTCTGTTAAGGGGGCTCTGTCCACTGTTGCCATGACTATGTCCACACCCATCGCCATGGCTATGGCCATGACCCTAAGGATAGCAAAACAAAAACATTACTATGTGTGAGACAGCTTTAATAGCCACTACTTATAGGGTATTGTGCAAGTCTATTGTATATCTAGATTCAAATGAAAATACACAGACTTTTAGAAGAGAAATAACACGGAGACTTACATTACAAAGACACCATGTGAAATGATAGAGCTAAGAAAAATATTATGGCTGCATGTTTCCGCAAAATATCTGAAAATATTCTCTAAGGGCCCATTTAGATACTGTAAAAAAAAAAGATCTAACTACCTAACCTCATGGGTCTCATGTCACGATTGTCAGAGGGCTCAAAAATAGATTACAAATGTTTAATATACTATAACATTCATATTCGACAAACGTAATCAAGTTTAACTAAAACAGCAAGATTTTCACACAGAACGCTTATATATACTTAGGGGAGCTAATATATTTTGCGTAAGTATGTACATTATCTTCCACCGTGCAAATATCGACGCTGAGTTCGAAGGAATTCGAATTACCGCCAATACAAGTTAAATTCATCAACTTTCCACAACATAAATCAAATTGAAAAGTACAAAAAGAGATTTATAGTAATTATTCTATCGCAAGAGGAGGATATTTTAAGAAAAGCATGAGTTAGGGATTATAAAATGCAAAAGAAGTRTACTCACATCTGAATGAAGCCCAGACATATCGGCCATTTTGGAAGCTTTTCAATTAGATGGACGGGAGAAACTGTTAACCAATAAGACAAAGGGAGCCCGGATAAAGTAGTTTTCAAATGTATAGAAAAGATCCCCAAAAATATCGAAGTAAGGAAAGACTATTATAAATTTATTAACAATCTAAAAAAGATTTTGATTCATATTATAACTTTTTATTTCGGGAACCTTTGGTTTCTTGTCACACTAATAGCGTGACGACCGGCTCCCTGGCAAAGTCTTCGATTTACGAAATGAGCGGGAGTTTTCAAAATTACAAAAACAAAATCCCCAAAACAGCCTTGAATTAGGATCCTGGTGTTCATCCGAATACTTGTGATGTCCGTCTGATATAAGAACTGTACACCTTTTCCTGTTATGATTTGGAAAACAATAACGACAKTTCAACAGAACACAGTCGATAAAAGCAGTATTCGGCCGCAAATCAGCACTTGGCACCCATCCCCACCCCCGTCAAAAAATAAATCCACTGAAGGATGATTATGCAAATTGCTGATTGGCTCGCTGCTCCCTAAGGATTTTGGTGACGTCATATATTAGCATAGCACTTCACCGAATAGACTACCCCAATTAGATGTTAGATATCTAAGTGTCTTCATAGTACGATGGTCTAAGAGGGTAGCTAAAGGTATGCTCTAGTGGGCGGCTACCCCCTCACTCCCTGGCCTTTTGGTTAAGACTAAGTTTTATGTTCACTCGGGATAGCGTGGAAGAGCCGAAATCTCTAACCGTATCGTAAGCCGATTCGCCGCCTCAGCTTCATAGAATGTCTCGGGGGAATCGTCCCATCTTTTTAGTTTTTTATTTTCATTATTTCTTATGTATTCAGGGGGGGTATATCTTCTGCTGAAGTGAAAGTCCTGAGTTCGAGTCCTGCTTCTGGAATTTCTCTCTTTTTCGCTTGTTTAAATTGTTTCTTTTTCGCTTGTTTCTCATTTCTTTTCTTCTTTTTTTTCTTTTCTTCTTTTCTTTCCTGTTGTTACTTCGTTTGTTTTTCCTCTAGAGATTTTCTCTTTTCAACTTTTAAGTTGTTTAAAAACATRTCAAGGACTCGCAAGCTACAATACAAGTGGATGGTTACGCGGTTCGGTCACTCAACGCGATGACATATCGACATAGGCCTTTCATCACAAAAACCATCGAAAATTATGGGTAAGAAAATGTTAATTTGATTTTGTCGCAGTTTGACGCAGTTATTTCATTTTCTTTTTTCTGATTGGTCAATAGTCACGTGATTAAAATAGTTTTGCTGCACCGGCCGAACTCACTTTTCTTTGTGAATTCTTACAGTTTAGCTGTTTTTSTAAAGTTGGACTAATTTTTCTCAGCATTGTGGCTTTTTAGTTCAATATTCTTACTTTGTCAATGTGAATGGACTGCTTTTTTGCTGGATTTACTTGTAAGACGTTTTGTGAAGCTTTGCTACCCTGTGATGCATCGATGCAGACCGCTTGAAGGGTCCTTGAATGGTCCTCAAACTATCTGGCATAGACTGGCATATTGACAGCATGAGGTAAGGTTTTGGTTACTTTTCACTAATAAATARGTATAGTTGCGAACTATCTTGACTCGATCTCATTCAGAAAACAAAATTCTCGATTGTGACTGGCAGACGAGGCACAMACGACTCGGAAAAAGTGCCGACCGAAACTCGCTCATATTGGCGAAAAATTATAATTTTCTCTGAATTAATTGCTTTATAACTTCATTCTTAATATCTGCAGAAGTTTTTTACTTTTAATTCAAATATTTTTGTTAAAAAATCGTTGTTAGGAATGATATAACTTGTATTGCTCGGTCAGTGCCTTTACGCGCGGGAAATTTCCCGCCATTTTTTCTGTGTTCCTATTGGTCAAGTCATGTTCACGCATTGCGGTATTCATGTCTCCCTGACACTTCCCACTTTGCGCATGCAAAACTTGAATAATAAGACTTTAATTTCATAAAACTAACAACATAAAATTTAATTTTCTAAAATGTTTATTACACATATTAGCATAATTTTATACTGCATTCTTTGCTCTCAAGAAGTATTTACACTTTACTGCTTCCAGATTATTTGCAGGTTTTGCTATAAATTACACATTTTTTGAACAATCTACATTGACTTGCAAGTCCATTAATAAATAGTATAGCATGACRGGCATTGCTGAGCACTTAATGTACAATTAAACTTTTGAAGCTTATACATGTACTTTAAAKTCAATCTTGTCTTCATTTTGATCAACACAGTTTCACTCAAAGTCTTAAAGACAGTATGCTACATTTTTACAAAGCCACACTGTAAAAATTTTGTTAACTGTGTAAACTATCATTATCAAATTCATTATTAATTCATTAGKTAAACAATCTTTTATAAGCAAGAGATTTGTCCTGATTTGCATATGACTTTAACATACGATTTTCTCTTAAAAATGATATTTTATCTTAACGTTCTTTGCAAATATGCTTTAGCTTATATAAAATTACTTAACTTGATCCACACTTCATAAAACTGGCACCTGGTTGGTAATCACAAATAAAATAAAAAAATAACTGTTATAGGTCAAACCTATATAGATTCTATTTCACAGACATGTCATAGCACAATAACAAGCGAAGAAAAAAAAACTTACTAGTAGTCTACTATTTCAAATACAAATATATTATTTTGATAATACATTAATATAATTTCAATAAATTTYACTTTGCAACTCAATATTATGGTAAATGAATGTGAAAATCAGGTCAACTGTAAGTAATCCCAGCCAGAGGGTGTWTTTGTAYGTCTGGCCATATCTCTTGGCTTGAAATTAAGCCAAACTTCCTTCAGTGATGAWGCTATTGAATTGGAAGACAGCTAGACAGAGATTTGAGATGACAGGTCATCGKACAGTGATAGATACCTATTCACAATTATTTTTGAACATTAGGATAATTTTATAAATAGGTATCTAGTACCTGAAATTGACCAGTCTCACTTGAATAGCCKATTTGCATTATGGCGTCATTTACTACAACTACCAGAATGCTTTGCCAACTTTCTTTTGTGATGCAATTAGTGCCAATTGTTTTATTAATCTCCAAGGGKATTAAAAATCTGAATAACAATGAAAATGCGCAGGGCTCTCTGGTAGTTATAGTAAAGTTACSCCATAATACAAATGGCCTATTATGTGATCAMTGTACTCTATTTGAAAACACRTTCATTTCACTAAAATATTGATACATACATTAAAAGTACTACATAAATAATCTATCATTCTTATACCATTGTCTCGATTTCAGTATTTTCTTGGGACCTTGAAGATCTTGGACTCCCATTCGAAGCTATAGCATTCATTTCAATATGAACCGGAACTCKAACGATGTTTACAACCTCCTCGTATTTGGGTGGTGGTTCCTCGTATTCCTCGTTGAACAACGATATATACGTTGGCGGAGACTCGGAGGGATTAGAATTCGTATTYCCCTGGTTACAAGTCAATAATGGCTCRGATCCAGAGTTCCTAGTTTCTCTGTTTGCTYGAKATAAATTTGTGCACGACGTCACAGTGGTATTCGATGAATGAGACTGGTTTCTAATCACTTGTGAAACAGCGGTTACTAGGGTCCTCCTATTAYSAGAAATTGCCKGAGTGTTACGTATTTGAGGCGAACTAGGGGTTGCAGATCTCGACTGTCGATTTCCTGTAGTAAACGTGGAATTTCGCACGTTTTCGTTTCGCAAATGTTCGACGCATGATTTATTAGTGTGGACATGTGTATGTCCAGTTTCATTTTCACCCTCTCTTCTTTCAGCCTCGAATTCGTCCAGAGCTACGCTTCCATATCGCCCCCAATGCCTCTTTAAGTACAAATAAAGCTCTTTCCAACAGCCTTCCGTGTAACAAAGCACGATTAAAGCAAAGCCTAAGACGGCAATAATGACGATRAACGGCAACAGAGTAAACGTATGTTGTTTTGGTATCACTTTGGAACTACACATTTGATTTTCTCTGCATTCGAAGTCTTTYGGGCAATCTGTTTCGTTAAGACAAGTCTTTAACTCACAGTTAAACCGCTTTGAACAAGCCACACAGATGTTCTGGTGGCACAGATGATCCCTTTTGCAGTCTCCATCACTATAACAAAGCTGACTGCATCGTACTTTCGATGTTGTACAATGTGACATACAGCAATGCTGCCCAACATCACAATCCAAATCCTTTGAACATCCTTTYACCGAGCGATACAACCAAGAAATCAAAAGAATCCTTAAAACAAGAAGAAATGCGGCCATTTCAAGCTCGTAGCGAGCGAGCTTTGTCTCGTTCGCCGCCGATACCGTAATCATTGAAGACCACGATATGAATATTTATAAACAATTCGATGACCAATACGACACGAGGTGACAGGGTCATGTGCCAGGCATTGTTTGTTTTTAGCGGGAAAACATGCTAAAAATATTGGAAAATATGGAATGGCCACAAGGACTATTGAAGTTGTAACAAAATGAGGAATTARGATGCAAAAAAGGTACAGAATTTCGAGGTAAGTCATTAGTAATCAAAATGAAGAATTTTGAACTTTATACTATTATACTTCGTTAGTTATTTATTATTATGAACTGCTAAATATAGCTATTATAAGATAGTGTACTATGAATCTTGAGTATCAAAGAGATACATAAATAGATGTATTGATATTGCCGCTGTTGTCTTATAATGATTTATTACTATCACTATATGACTATAATTTTATAACTTTAATTGATTTTGATTTATATCAGTATAATTTTAATACTTATTGATTTAATGATTTTCGTTGRTACAAAGTCTGTGATCTAAAAAGGTACTGGCTATTTTAGTCCCACATTTGATGGAGCCGATTACTGTACTATGAACAAACTGTAGGAATTTTCACATATTCCAGTTGTACTATTCCCARATTTTGTTTTGTGACAAAAGTTCCGCTTGATGTCTTATCAAGCGTTATTYATCACGGTCCTCGGACGTGCTTATAGCGTATTAAATGCCTAACCGCAAACCCGATACTTCAATAGAATGGTGATCTTTTGGCTTTTTAAAATGTTAAAATACTTGTGGGTTTGGCACAGCGTCTCTGTCAACGTTTAAGGAAGTAAATATGGTCTGTTATGACTATTGTTCCTGATAAGGCTTGAGCTTTACCCTGAAATATAACTTTAGCCCAAAAGTCCGTGAACAGAATTAGGTTAAGGCAATAGATTCCAGTTGGTGTACATTACATTCATTTGTAACAACCATGTATATTTATTATTATACATATTTTATATCACTATGCGGGCATTCAATCACAGTTTCCTGATAGACCTTTTTAACTTTGAGATTGACTAGTGCGGCACGCAAAGCTTTTAATGCGCACAGTCAGCCTTAATGACTGCTGCACGACACTATACCCTATCAATTAATRTTATCATTATTTCCAATCCATTATCTATTAAAAGTTGCACCATGCCTGCCCTCTATTGCAATATCTTACACGACAGACTTTCAGGCTTCTAAATATTGCATAGTAAACACGTGCATATTTACACAGATCAACTAATTAGACTAATCGGTCATGTACTTTCGCTCATTATCTCTATCCATCGTCTTGCAAAGTTTATTCCTTTTATGTTGCTATCTTGCGCTCACATATAGATACATGGAAATGCYAGTTCGATATTTTTTCCTGGAAAAAGAACAATGAATAAGTTTTATTTGATCCGTCTCTCACAATCCCCATGCTACGCATGTGGGCGGGCGTGAAGGAATTAAATGCTCATATTTAAATGGTTCAAATCGATTGGTTCATAATCACGTTACAAGGCGGACTTTACCCGCACTGCTTGAGCTTCAAAGACCTTCTGACACGAAATTTCATATCCAAGCATCACATTGCATAATACAATAATCGATTCTTCTCGGTTACGCAACAATAATAGCGTGTCACTTATTGTGTAAGGTAGCATTGATGGCATAGTGAAAGACTAATCTTCTCCTTCAGACATCCCTGAATCAGAACACAATTTCAGCACTAAGGGCAAAGACCAATCCATTTCATCCGAAACCGTGATTGAATCAGACATATTATTGCGAAATTGGTCCGGACGTACTATCGGAACTTTTGTGGAATTGTTTCCTTCTACATAGTCATTCTCTTATTCATTGCCCGCCAAAATTAGTCATTTATTCGCGGTGTCAGTATCATTTTTTAATTAGCTAATATGATCAGATTATCGTTCTCTTTGAATTTTCACATTTGCATTGATCGGCTTTTGAGTGTCCATTTAACAAAGTTCGTTCCTCCATCTGCGCCCTCCCCCATCCCCAATCATCCTTCAGAGCTAATTTGGCGGTAGACGTAATCAATCAAACATTAAACTTTGAGCGGACCCTTTAAGCCCTATTTTATTGTTCTTTGGAAGTTTATTCATCAGTTTGAGGTTCAAGTCAAACCTAATATGCTGATCACTTCTCAAAGCCCCCTTACTTCAGCACCATTATCCATGTGGCCGGGAAAATTAAGGGCCAAATTAAATGCAGGGACGTCCGAGAGGAGCTACCGGAGCACCTTTTTAACCGTAAATTAAAAGTAACCTTACACAAACTTACACAATAACTTGTCATTCGCTCGGAAATCTGTATCAAATAATCTTACCGCATATCTCCAGGTATTGTAGTGATGTAAGAAAGATCCCAAAGGGCTATTGTTYCMTGAAGGAGGGAGAACTGGGACARAGCTGTACACCAACCACCATAGCTRGCATTATGACAACAATAAACATATTTATTGAATTTGGAAATACATTCCATTAATCTAAACATTGCCATTTAATTACAATGCAATAATATAAAATCTCTACAATCTTTAAATTAATTACAAGTATAAAATATATACAAATTCCTACTTTTAACTGACATGCTAGATATTCCGCAAAGTCACTCAAAATGATATCCTTTTAAATATACCGATTCAAAACCATCCTCTGCAATGCAATTCTAACATTGTTAGAATACGAAAAGGATTACGAGAAGATTTATCATTTTTTACTACATGTATAWTTCGGCCTTTATCCAAAGGCCATCGACTGCAAACTGAACTTACATGAATAATTATTAGTTCAAAAGACTTAAGGGAATTGACTGTCCCTGTTCATTCAAAGATGGTTTTTGTTCTTTTATATAAAGCGCTTCGGCGATTCTCCTATGTTTATATGTTCTAAATTTTGACGCTAAAATAGTAAGAGAATCGCCGAAGCGCTTTATATAAAAGAACAAAAACCATCTTTGAATGAACAGGGACAGTCAATTCCCTTAAGTCTTTTGAACTAATAATTATTCATGTAAGTTCAGTTTACAGTCGATGGCCTTTGGATAAAGGCCGAAATATACATGTAGTAAAAAATGATAAATCTTCTCGTAATCCTTTTCGTATTCAAACTATATGCCCAAAAGAATATATTAACATTGTTAGCCTTTAAGTGGAGGAATGGGAGGGTAAGACTGAACATTTCATTTCACTTCTCCCATGTTCCTCCACCAAATTACTCATCTAAGYCTTGCAAACACTAGCCTGGAGACCCTCAAGATAAATGCCTGCACGTAGGCTATGTAAACACTGATACATTTTTGCATTGTATGAAAACAATACAAAAMTTATTTGTATAYACAAGGCCATGTTTTCTTGAAGGTGCTACAAAACTACCTCAACTATAGGTAGAAAACTTGAAAAAACTACAAAAAGCAGATTGACAGGCAGTCAAGATGTATTCATKAACTACTTTAACACGGCTAGAGTTACTAAATTTCAAATTTTAACTTAAAACAATAAATGCAGCAGGACAATATTAGTGAATTGTTGTCAGGYTTGRTCCATCAAGGGATCCATAGAYAGACAGGGCAATGAGTAGTATATGATGAATGMTCTCTTTAAGGAACAGCTCAGGTATCATATTTTAAGCGTTGTGATCAAGTTCTTTGTTCAAAGTTACCCTGTGTCAGGGATCAAATTTGTATTGGCAACTCAACATGTTTGTATCGTTGTGGATCTTAACTGCACTGAAGAAAACTGCTGAAACATTATTATCCTAAAGAAATAGTTAACCATAGTTAACTG